AGAAGCAGTGGCAGACGTGCAGTGTGCTTTTGTAGCTTGTACCTGGCAGTGCCAGTGCTACTGATCTTATGCATTGTGTGAATATTGGTTATGTCTCCAGATACATTCACAGCTCTGAACACAGCCAAGGAGAGTGTAAGCAAACTACTCAAGATACCTGGAGTAATAGAGCTGTGTTAGTGCAATTCTCTGTCCAGGCTGGTAAGCAGCATTTGCTTGACTTCAAAGATCTCCATGCCACTATGTCTCTGTGCCTTCTAGTAGCCAAGGAAGGCAATGTGGTCCTATTTTTAATCTTTTCTGGTAGCATAAGCCATACTGCCTGTGCACACACCTACCTGTATTTCTAGTCTTTGGAAACATAAGAAAGAATTAAAAAGTATAGTGGGAAAGTCTGAGACAAAGGCATGTTAGACTGCCAGGTAATCACAGATAGATAATTTATTAGTCATTATCACTCAGGTATTACCTGTGCTTTGGCCATTTTAACAATATTCTTTCATTGTATACTGCAGATGCTGGAAAGTCTGGGTCAAAGAAATGGACTGTGTCCCTGAGAACTTCTTACGAATTTAATTACAAAATGCTAAGAAATTCCCTCTAATGACAAGAAAACCACTTGATCCCATGGTTCAAAAATTATGCCTAGCCAGATTTTTCAAAACTACTCTTCCCAGAAGCACCCCTATAACTGGACTGACCAACAATCAGAAGCTTGGGTTCTGTTTTGCTCAGGAAGCTCTGTACATATGACTTCCCTTATGAAGGATAAATTGCTAAAAAAATTTGAAATGAAGGAAGCTGTAGCTGGACCATGGGCTCATCATCACCTTTGTGACACCTCATAGCAGATGGATGTACCCTTTCTTCTCTCTCCCAGAGGGCATCAAGACTCAGACAAGCAAGATCCTTGTCAGGATTTTGGTTTTGGTTGTCTAGACTGTAAGCACACGACTAATGGTAGGGTGGCATCTGTCATTGTTTGCCTGATTGCACAGTGAGTTACCAGAGGCTAGAGCTGAGGACACAGTGAAGTCTTTCCTGAGCTGTTGTTGCTTTCTGCACCCTTCAAAGTATGACCTTTCTGAGCAAGGTAAAGCACATTAAGCACCAGTGCTGCTCAGTGCAGGATTACAGAGTTAGGGAGAAAAAGCCTCTGGAGTGGTAGCTGTAAATAAAGCCAGCATATTTTCAGAGCTGTCTTTTCAGTACAGCTTCACAGCATTTATTCTGTGAAGAACAGTTGAAGCAAATGTAAAATCCTCAAATCCATGCCAGGGTAAAAATATGAGACAGGGCTTTCTGACTTCATTGAAGATATATTTTCTGCAGAGACAGACAAAAACCAAAAATCACCATAACTGTCTTCAATTTATCATAATCTTTTCATCCCTGCAGAGTTGCCAAGGCTGTTGAAGAAGGCATTAGGAACACAGAACAGCTATTCTGGGCCACATCAATGTTGTTTTTACCTAGTTTTATTTGTGGCAGAAGTTAGTTGGGCATTCTTAAAGAAAGGGCAGAAAAAGTGTAGTGCCCTTTCCTATGCTAAACTCTCCCAGCTTCTGTTAAATTGCAGACTAGGCACTTCCTGAGACAGTGGTTTTATCTTCATAAATAATACCTGGCAGATTTTTCTTTTGGGAATGTACCTAATTCCTTTTGAACTTTTTTGTGCTTTTGACCTGCACAACCAATCTCTGGCAGTGAGTTCCACAGCCAAGCTGTGTGCAAAGAAAATAAAATTATTTTTGGACCAGTTTTATCTTCTTTTTGCTTAGGTTTTTGAAACTACCTACCTTTTATGCTTTGAGAAACACTGCATAAGCATCCCCTATTTTCTCCCCATCATCCATGGTTCTTTATGCATTGAACATGTTCTCTCCCTCAGCTGTTTTTATTCCAGTCTACAGTGGACTATTCTATTTAATTTTTCTCCCTAAATGATCTTTGGTCATTCTGACTGCCCTTCTCTGTACTAATTCTAGTTCTTCTCTACCCTGAAATACAAGAGTTTTGAAGAAGAGTGAGTACATGGAAAAAGGCAGCTTGAAGATTTAAACTATGAAAGTTCTCTTGCTTCCATCAGACTCCACTGAAAAGGCTTCAAGGAGCAAGAAAATGACAAGTAACTGGAATTAACCTTAATATCATAAGTGTTTCAGCTCAGCCAGAAAACCAAACTTCAGAGGATTCCTTGTGTCCCACTTTTCTTCCCTAATCCAGAGGATTCCTCTAGTATTAATCTGTGGAAAGAAAGCTTAAAAGTGCAGTCTGTTCAAGAGCTGAACACAAAAGGATTGTATCATCTGGCCATCATATACCTGGAATACACAAAACGGACAAACCTAAACTCTCTGGAATTGTCTCTGAAAAGTGACTGAGCTGGTAACTTGTCATGTAGCTGTATGAAATGTAGGTCACTGAAAGTTATAGATGTATTATATATATTTGTATTCATAACCTGCTTTGAAATCTGTTGTGGCCTTTCCTCATTATGAGGAAACAAGGACAGCGATGCATCTGCAGCTGTCAGAGGCTTGCTTTACAAAGTCTAGAAAGGTCAGCAAGGTCTAATTTAAACACATCTCTCTGGGCCAGAAAATGAATTGTGATTTGCCTGCCTGTTTAGTGTTAAGCATATAAGTACATGAGTTGAAGTACTAGAAATACTCCTAGAAAAGCTAGATATTATATGAGTTTTCAATCTAATATGCTCTTTCTGAGATAGATAAATAGATTTTCCTGCCACTATTACAAATTTTAAGTAAATTTTAAGTAAATTTTACGTAAGTTTTAAGTAAATTTTAAGTAAATTTTAAGACCACTCCCTGACAAATCCCTGAATTTGTTAAGTATGGTGCAAAGTAAAGAGAAACACAAAGGGACAGGTTAAATAGATGTTTAATAGTGTTTATATGTAGATTCTGTTCTGCCACAGATGGATCAACCTGAAATTAATTCCCTGGTTTCAGGGCATTGCTCTCAGGTTTACTATGCAGTAGTGTCAAAATTCAATTCAGAGCCTTCTTTTTATGCAGTCATATAATACTCAGTATAAACAGAAGAAAAAAATCTCCTTCTTCTCCATGCTACTCTGAAGCTCTCTGAGATATGGTTTGACTCTCTTAGTCAATGCTTCTTATTCTTCCAGCTTTAAAGACCAATTTAAAAGATTTAAAAGATAAAATGTTCTGAACTGAGATAGTTAGCTTCAGATCATAGTTTACTTCCTATTTATTATGTCTTTTCCTCGCAATAACAAGTGGGAACTTCTTTCAAGGGAAGTAAGTCCAAAAGCTCTTCCAAAGGGTGTAAGGGTCTTTTACACCTCATTTTCTCTTGTGTCTGCCAACACTGCTTTTCATCTCAAAACTGTCACAGAATCATGGAGTCAGTTAGGTTGGAAAAGACTATCAGTTACTTAAACATCTCCCTCTATCATCCAAGTGGGCACAGGACTGGTTTCCTGAATTTGACACTTAAATTGCATATTAGCAGTAAAGTTGACCTGTAAGCAGACCTGTGGTATAGTCACATGCTTGGAAGCTTTCTTGGAACGTTCTTCAAGAGACCAGTTTGCTATAAACTGATTGATGAACTTGTATGTTGAGTGTTGTCCTTTTATATTTCCCTACTAGTATTAATCAACATAAAATCAATGCTCAAGCTGTTATTGGCATGTACTTTCTGGAGATATAATCAGAGGGAGTAGAGCATTCACCTTCCTCCTTGCTGGGAGTAGACAGTAATTTCCTCTAAGTCATGATCTGAAATTCCAATGCTAAGTGATATTGAACTACACAAAGGCTCTTATTACAGAAGTAGTCACAAGCACCCAGCCTTGTGGACCTGAGGGAGAGCACCACTATCCAAATGTATAATTTTTGAAAACTTCTCTTGCATCAAATGAAATATCAAGCAGGAAAAGAGATCTCAAGAAATGGCATTCTGGAGTTCTGTGTTAAATTTCAGTAGCTTCCAGATCAAATATACTCAGTCTATAAATGAAAAACCTTGGGGGAAAATAGATCTAATACCAAAGGCTACAGGTTCATCTGGTTTCTGGAAGTCAAACTGGACTGCTTCCTATCTTCAGTGTATCATAGAGCAAGCAGAAAGAAAAGAAAAAAAAGATTGAAATTTTTGGGAGGTTATTAAAATGATGGTACTTTAAAGAACAAAGACTATTTTTAGGGATACAGCACAAATGGATTTTGGTGGTTTGATCTTAAAAATGCCTACCAGTACTCTTGCTTTCTGTACTACTGGAAGTCTTTCTGATTCATTAGTACATGATTGGTCCTGTGCAACTCTTTTCCCTCATTTTTTATTGAAACAATTGCAGCCAAAAGAACGGTGATTTTAGGTCTTGCTGATATGAAAAGAGAGTAGCTTTTCTACCATGGGCCTTTACTTCTGCTCTTTCACATTTTATCTGTAAAAACTGACAAAAACTAGTCACCTTACTGAATGTGTGTAAGCTGATCTGCTGAATTTTGTACACCTTTGGACAAGTTTTTGACATGCAGCAAAAAGCATAACCCAGATACATCTTATCTTACAGCCAATCTTACATTTTGTTTTAATATTTCATGACAACAAACGGCGACATCTTCTCAAATAAAGGTTATCAGATTGTATTAAAATTGGCAAAACATTATCTGCTCTCTTTTGTCTAGAAATGGTGAAACTAATCTGATTGAAATGCAAAGCAATCACCCCTGCTCCTATCCAGATGGAAGATTTCAGCCCCAGTTAGTATTTGATAAAGTGGGTGAGAATGAGATTGTACTGTGCCAGTTGCCAGGTAATCTTGAGGTAGTGCCACCTATAATGCTAGCCCACTTTATAAATGACATGCATATTACAGATACAATATTGATTTTATGTAATTCATGTAATTAGTAATGAGAAAATTGTTCATTTAATTTATTGTGCCTTTTCTGATCTTTGTGGAAGTAGAAAACATAAATAACATAAAAAACATAAATAATAATAATATAATAAATTTTTAAAATTAAACCCTGAAGTTCCATTTGTTTCCATTCAGCCTTGTGCAAGGTATTTTAAGCTAACTTGCTCTTATTTGCCATGAAATGAAGACACATCTTCCTACCAGCACTATAGGGAAAGGCTTTCCCTTCAGAAGCAAATCCTGTAGCTACCATAACCCTTCCCAATACACAGGTCAACATACCTCCCATATTCCCATATTCCATGCAGTTGTTGTTTGCTTCAGTGTATTTACATACACTCGAGGAGTATGAGGAGTATGCCCTCTGAGGAGGTCAGCAGCAATTCCTGTATTCTTTTCCTTCCTTGCTTGCTTCTTAAAGGCTGTTCCTGTAAATTGCTGTTAGCCACTGTAGTATTTTCAAGGCTGTGGGCACAACACATTGTACCTTACTGCCTGAGATGCCAACAAAATAAAAAGTTATTAATGACACTCTTTATATAAAAAGCTCACATAATTTCATATAAATACACTTGAATGCTCTAGTGGAGTCGGGTCTGGTTCAAGAAAATTCCAGCTTAGCAGAAAACTTACCGTGTTGTGTGTGAACTGTTTTCCTTGTGATTTGTGTCGGAATCATGAGAAAGAACATCTTCAGTGCAAGCTGCATTGTTAGTGGAGCATATACAGGCAGTTAAATCACTTTTATATCCTTGATGTTCTTGTGATTTGTTCTTTTTGTTTGGTTGGTGTGGGATTTCTCCATTTACAATTGGTGTCAGAACAGATGGCAAAGTCTTAGCTTGGTGTAATATGTCCATAAAATAAGCAAAGCTGTCAGTGAGCTTGGTGTCCAGCAGGCCTATTCCACTTTGAGAAGGATTTTTCTTCCACTGGAATCAACCTCAAAAAATATGATTTTAAGAAGAAACTAGTAGCTCTACCAGGAGCAAAATTCAACAGTTATGAGGTTCTCTTTAAGTTGACTGTAGAACTTCTTTAGGGGAGGAGGCAATACTTTGAGATTCTCTCCTCCACAAGGTAGGATTTTTGGTGAAACATTAAGGAATTCTTCAGTTTTGCTCTTTCAGATCTTCTGTCCTTAAAAAGTGTTTTGGGGAAGTAGTGAGTGGCAGGAAGCAGGCAAAATCATAGAGAGATCAATTCTGCATGAGTTCATTACTTGATTAAGCAAGTCACATTTGGTTCTCTTCAAGTTTCAAAAAAAAAAACAACAAACCCAAAACCAAAGCCAAACAAACAAACAAACAAAAAAACAACAAAAAACCAAAAAACCCCAAACCACCAAAACCCAGCAAAAAACCCTTAGATTTTTACACCCATTGGATTTGAGCTAATTCCTAAATATCTTCTGAAGCTGTAACTTCAGAGGTTATTTCTGGTGTTATTTCTGCTGCCAGGTGTGCCCAGGGTGTGCCAACACAACCTTGCAGAGATAGACAGCAAAGACAGGTTTTACTCCAAAATAATACCTGAACAGGAAACACAGGTAGAATAAACTTTCTATTTTGTTGCTTATTTCTTAGCTAAAGAAATTATGAAATGGAATGCTTAAAAGATTTACCAAAGGCCACACACCAGGTCTGAGGAAGAGCTATGTCTGAGGCAGAGCTGTGGACAGAAAACTTCTGAGCCACAGTTCATTGCATTCACAACTGCTCAGTGAATGTTCAATGCATTCACCAAGTTCATCCTTCCTTTTCAGAGGACTACTATGTAGGAACATATTATTCCAAGCTGCTGACAAGTCTAACTAGCTGTTTTGTTAACAAATGAAGGCGTGGCAGTTGACAAAAGGTGAAAATAGCACTGGGCAGCAAAGATTGTGACTGCCTGTGCCATACACTTCATTGTACGTTTTATCTTTAAATGCTTCCTTAGAGAAGCACAAACAAGAATACAAAGGAAGTGGAAATCTGAAACCTGCTTGAAATTTATAATACTCATTATATTTTTGGGACAGCAATCCTTGGCAAGGTAAGTTATTTATAGGCAAGAGCTGCTCATGATTTGCATGGTAATGCGTTCACATCTGCAAAGCCTATAAATTAGCCTCCAGCTCATTACAGCAATGCCATTGTCCTACTTGCCAGTATGTAATCTGATCCCAAATGTTTCACACATCCACAAAATAAAACCAGCCTGAGGGAAGAGCTTCACTGTTGCAGTATAGGAACACCAAAAAATCTTCCTCCCCCACAAAAAAAAAAAGAGAAAATAACACAAAATGACTGGATGGGAGGAAACTGCTAAATATTTCAAAAAGATAAGCCCCAAAGCCTAACACTGAAGAAAGTGGAAAACTGTTGCCATGTTTTAAGGTGCTTATGCCTGTTCAGGCAAAAGAATGAATTTACTGCAGCTTTTTAAAGGGTTCCAAATAAAAGTAGCCTCATAGAAGATTAAGTCACTTACTTATCTGTGCATCATGATTTTATCCTAATGTGTCATACTTGAGCACTTTGTGCACAGATATCTGAAACAGACGCTGATGTCTTTTATTTTGATGAATATTATAAAGACAGTCTCTACTTCCAGGTAGTCAAGAGTTTACAATTATATCAAGGTTTTTCCCCTTCATTAAGCCAGCAAAAAGATGAAATACAGTGTAGACAAAGTAGGCTCATAGAGCACATATCCCCTTCCCTCCAGATATGCAGATACCTCCTATGTTAATTCACTATGTCAAAGGTCACTGGATGGTAAAATGTTGCTTGTACCCCAAGTTCAGCTTCTGAAATATCTCAGGCTCAGCTTTGTGATGGTGAGTATGAAGAAGAGGTCTCTCCACCAAACTTGGATAAATGCTGGTTCACTCTTGTAACTTCCATCCTTAAAAAAGAGAAAATTGAAACCCTTACAATCACAAGCCCTACCTACATCATTGGAAAGGTCTTTAACAGGGTGACAAAGCCTCTGTCTGCAAGCTCTCGCCCACTACCAAAGTTGCTTCTGCATTACCCTACTGCTTACCTCCTCTGGCTTTTTCATCTCTTCCTTCCAACCTCTCCACCTACTCTTGCTTGGCTGTGGAGTCCTCAAAAACCCCTCTTCTTTGCTGGCCTACTCTTATAGGTAAATGACTGCAAATGAGAAGAAGACCTGGAACAAGAGAGCTTTCAGCTGAAGCTTCAAAGTGGGAGGGGGCAAGGCACAGGTGTGATGCTGGATTCAGGATTCTGGTGTGCCTGCGTGTAGGATGTGCGCCATTATATTTATTTATTGAATTCTGGTTGATAATAATAGCTGGTTCTTTATTTATTTATTTATTTACTATAGCTCTCTTGTTTGTCTCAGTAGGTGGAAGAGCAGCAAAAAAACAGAGCCCTGCATGAGTCATAACCCAGAAAAAGCTCTGCTGAGAATACAGCTCACACTCTTCTGCAGTGTAGCCCAGGTGATAAGCATCAGTGTTGTTGTTCTCTCCATGTTGTCGGTCTCATTTTACCATGAATGATAATATTCACTGTGATATATTCAAATGGAGCTGTAGGGACAGATAGCTAGGGGCATCTCCATTTCATTTTCTTCTTTTCCATACTAACATGAGAAAAAGGAAATGCAGCATAAAGAAAAATACATACTTGTTTAGAACAAACATAGAAACATAAAAACAAAAGGTTTTACTTCTAAATCCAGGAACTTGACCTCATTTCTGTTCAGTTATACATTTGATCTTGCAAAGAATTGCACAAGGCTAGATCCAGCTATGGGCACAGAGAGGGTTTATACATCTCTGCTGCATATCCTGCTGCATGAGTGGGCAGTGCCCATGTATGAGCTGCAGCCTTGTCACCCCTGCAACTGGCAGCTATCTGGCAGATCTTTCTTTAAAATATAGGACAGTCCTAGTGAACTCTGTGGGACCTCCCTAGCAAAGAGCTGGGCACAGAATGAGGGAACAAGAAGGTCTGGTGTTCTCCCTGAAGTCTGCAGTTCCAGCACATGTTTAAAGGCAGCCTTCCTGCTCACAGTGGGAGTCAGGCTGCTCAGTGCTGAGTCTGGAATGAAGTTCTCGCAGAGGATCCCTGGAGTGGTTGCTGCTGGATGTGGACGACTGCACACATCCAGGGTGCTCTGAATGTGCCAAGCTGGGGATGGCAGCAAGCACTGATCTGGGTACCTCTCCACATCTGTCTCACCCGGACACTGAAGACAGTGGCCCCTGTTTGGGGCTGCTGAAGTGCCAACCGTATGTGGCCCTGTATGTCCCACAGAGAGTGAGCAAGCTCTGGTTGTCCTTGGGGATGCCCTCTTAGGCTGAATTTCTACATTGGTCCTTCATTTCACATGCTGGCCTCCTCCTGGCCTTCATCAGACTGTACAAGCAGACTCTGAGTAGTTGAAAGAGATTCCACTATTTGAGTAGTTTATCAGTGCTTTCTATGTTTAATGTGATTCTATTCCCAGGAGAATGGAGTATGGGACACACTGGGCATTACTGTTTAGATACTACACTAAAAATAGTGTCTGTGGCTACACAGGGATGATTCCTGTCCCATTTCTAATTGCATCCACTCTCTGAACATGGCATAATCTCCTTTACTATAATATGTGTGGGAAAAAAAAAATCTTAGTAGCATTTTTGTTCAGACCACCTATGATAAACACTCCTTTTTCCTCAGCCTATTGTGCTTTTAACTTTTACTGAACCTATATTTTGTACCTAGTTTCTTCATGCTTTGTACTATTGAGATCCAAGAATTTTTTTTTTTGCAAATGGTAACAAAAAAAGCATGCAAAGACTAGAAACAGGCATGCAGTAAAGAGAGTTTAAAAACATATATTTTCCTCTGTGTGTATTTAGCAGTTTCCATCCTTGCCATATGTTCTTTTCCTCATCATTTTGCCTTTTAGATTGTTCTTTAACACTTGCCTGTTTTCTTGCTTCTACAACAGAAGGGGAATTGATCTTTCATTTGTTCTGCAAATATTCCTTATTGTCCCAGGTTTTATTACCCCATCTGTTATTGAGTGAAAGTCTCTTGTGGTCTCATTTTTCCAGCTGATCACACTATACCACAGACTATATTTCAATGTAATCGCTATCTACTGTATGATGTGTAAATGAGAGAGAGAGAGGAGCAAAAAGACAAGAGTATTTTTCCCCTGCCTACCATTCCTCTCTTTCTGTGTAAGCACACACTTTCCATGCTTACTTTTTATCAATGACAGCATTTAAACTAAGTTCCTCATCTCCACTCTTTTCTACATGGGTCCAATGCTTATACCTCAGTATTTGCTACTACAATGCACAAAAATATATAAAAAATAAGCTCACCAACACTTGACAGATAGACACTTGACAGGTAGATACTGTCGGACTTCATGAACTAAAACATTTCCCTGCAACCCTCCCCAAAATAGAAACTTCTCCCGCCAAGCAGCATTTCCCTGTTCTCTCTCTTTCATTTCCCAGGCCTTTCTTACAGCGCCAAATACTTACCCTTGGTCATGTATGTGTTAACTCTGTGGGTAGTTTTAAAATTACTTCTTCTCCCATATTTTTAGGCTTTTACAACACCATGTTCTACACAATCCTGTTTCATCTTCCTGCACTCAACTCTGTCTGTCACAGCAAGGAGCTCAAGAAAGACATGCTTTTAAAATTAGAGGTACAGCATGGTTTCTGCAAGGGGAAGATAAACCTCGCAAGTGATCAAACCGGTGTGAAGAAGGTGAGTTGTCTGCAGCAGGACAAATAGATGGAAATTTCCACTCTCTGTCCAGCACAATGGGAGAGAAAACTCAGAATTATAACTATTTAAACTATTGCTTTTCTTAATAATAGAACAAAGTGGGTCATTGCCAGGGAGAAGCACAGAAGCAGCTCCTGGTGGAACAGGGCTTGGGAGAAATTGCGTCAGAAGCAGCACCCCTGATTTGCCCCTGAAAATAACAACTCAAAGTATTGACGTTCATGCATGCTGTGTTAATCCAGCATGATGTCCACATGTGCTGCTAATTTAGAGTTGTGATCCCTCATCTGAGTATGTGCTTAAAGCACCAGACTGTCTCAGAAATCAGGCCTCAGTGAACTGATCTATTGGGTGAGTCATTTATAAAAGTTAAACAGAGACTTTAATGCAGAGCTGTGCAATCAAACGTACTCTGTCTTCTTCTGCATGTGCAGGTAGTGATTAAGTTTATCCCAAAAACTCCTGATGTCACTCCTGGGAACCAAGATGCTGTTTCACAAGAGCTAATTGTACTGAGGCTGGAAAGAACAAAAATGGTGATTCTACAATGCTGTGTGGGCAGCTCTGAGATGCATGTGGCTTTTACAGAGAAGGAGGAATGGAGACAAAAAATTCAGATTGATGCAAGAAAATGTAAATGCTGATGGAAAGAAAAACTGTGTATCTATCATGCCAGTTTTCCCATGAGGTTTTGGAATGAAAAACTTTCAGAAATATGGAGTTAAATACACACATACATATATATATATGTATATATGTCAGCAGTACAGGAGCTTCCATCTCCCTAAATGAAGTCAAACCCATGGATAGAAGGCAATGCCACACTCCCTCTGGAAGGCAAAAAATTTATAGGTTCTGCCTTGCACACACCTGTGGTGCAGGTGTCTGGATGGGACCTAACTCCACGATTACCCTCCATCATCTGTGGTGGGACAATCAGACACTTCACTTCAGCCTCAGTCTAAAACACCTGAGTGAGGAGAACTCCACTTTAGGTTCTTGGTCTGCAGTTTCAGGGGAGATAAGCACCTAAATGCCAGAGAGTTATACAATCATTTAGGTTGGAAAAGATGTATATGAGCATTTGGTCCAGCCATTTAACCCAGCACTGACAAGTCCACCAATAAACCATTTCCCCAAGTGCCATAACTATATACCTTTTGAATACCTCCAGGGTTGGTGACTCAATCACTTTCCTGAGTATCGTGTTCGAATGTTTGACAACCCTTTCCATGAAGAATTGTTTTTCCTAATAGCCAATCTAAACCTCCCCTGATGCAACTTGAGGACTTTTCCTCTTGTCCTGTCACTTGTTGCCTGGGAGAAAAGGCCAACCCCCACCTGGCTACACTCTTCTTTCAGAGACTTGTAAGGAGCAATATGGTGACCCCTGATCTTCCTTTTCTGCAGGCTGAACAATCCCAGCTCCCTCAGTTGCTCCTCACAGGACTTGCTCCAGACCCTTCACCAATCTCAATGTGCCTCTCTGGACTTGCTCCAGCACTTGTGTCCTTCTTGTGGGGGCCCAGCTCAACACAGGATTTGAAGCATGGCTTCACCAGTGCCGAGCACAAGGGGACAGTCCCTGCCCTGGTCCTACTGGCCACATTATCCCTGATACATACCAGGATGCCATTGGCCATCTTGGCTACCTGTCTTGTTGCCAGAGAAGCATAAATAAGGATGGTTGAAAGGGCCCTGCTGAGCACGGCCAAGCTGCTCAGGAGGCTCTGGGGTGCTGGGCAGAGGGTCCCAGGACACGATATGCCCCTCTGCGGACAGGGGATTTTGGCAGAAGGCTGCCCTGTCCCCTGGATCGCATCTCCTATCGCAGCTTTCCCCAGGTGTCTGTGCCTGGATCCCATTCCCTATCCCAGCTTTCCCCAGGTGTCTCCATGCCTGGATCCCATTCCCTATCCCAGCTTTCCGCAGGTGTCTCCATGCCTGGATCCCATTCCCTATCCCAGCTTTCCCAGCTGTTTCCATGCCTGGATCCCATTCCCTATCCCAGCTTTCCACAGGTGTCTCCATGCCTGGATCCCATTCCCTATCCCAGCTTTCCCAGCTGTCTCCATGCCTGGATCCCATTCCCTATCCCAGCTTTCCCAGCTGTCTCCATGCCTGGATCCCATTCCCTATCCCAGCTTTCCCAGCTGTCTCCATGCCTGGATCCCATTCCCTAGCCCAGCTTTCCCAGCTGTCTCCTGCCCCCTGGCGGCAGTGGCGCCTCCGGCCCCAGCCCCGCCCCGCTGTCTCCAGATTCCCGCGGCGCTGCGCTTGAATAAAACGGTGTCAGAGCAGAAGAAACTCAAGGGGAGTTTAACTGAAAAAAAATTTCCAGCTTTGCATCTGATATTGCACAAATCTGGCATTTTCCAAGCCACATCTCTTGATTTATCAGATATGAGTACAAACGTCAGAATAAACACAAGCATGCTGCTCGGCAAGAATTAATAAATCTTTCCCGTTCTTAAATAAACAGAAGTTTATCTTAAATGAAAACAAAGTTAAAAGCCAGTGAAACCCTCTGGCCCCTCAAGCATAAGTACATACTGTACCTTGGGTTTTCTTGGAGCAGTGGTTCAAGTAATAGCAACATTAGGAAAAAATGTTCACACGTTGCACCAAGCTCCTATTCCTACAGGAATAGTCTGGTGTTAGCCAGGCAATTGCTAGCATTTTGTGACATCATGCATGAAGATGGCAAGTTTGCAACCTTGGAGAAGGGCTTATGAACACAATTGAAATCAATAAGGAGGACAAGGATGACACAGCTCTTTATTTGCTGCTTTCTTTTCTTATATTTTGAAAATGCAAATGTGAAGATGAAGCAAAGGAGGAAAAGAATTTAGTTGTCTTGAGACCCTCATTATTCTGTGGGTATGATCTAAGTGAGCCTGAGGCCTTTAGGGAGCTTTGGGGTAAAATCCATGCCACCTGGGATTCTGCCATTTCCTTTACTTGAGAAATTTCACCCAGTGCAATTTCAGGGCATCAGAGAGACCTTTGCACAATCTAAGTGTAGAAAACTGCAGACAGCAAACACATGTGCACCTTTACAACTGTATGGCAACCTTAGGAACCACATGCACAGAAGGAAGACTCTTTACTACCCTCTTATTTCTAAGATTTTAGGTCATTTCAGGCTGATGGAGTCACACAAGTTGTCCCTTGCAGGCATGAGAAAAGGTTAGTCATACTTCTGCAGGCCACATTGTTGCCGTAGTATTTCCACAAGGCTTTTGAAGTAGGCTCCACACTACATCAGTTGCAGAGAGCCAGCTTATTTCATCTATGCCAGCCCCAGAGGAGTCTGTAATGTAAACTGAGTTCAGTTAAGGGCTACTGACAAGAGCTGGTCAGAAAAATTGATTTCTTATAAATTCACATAATGGCAGCTTTTGAGCACACCTGAGGAAATTGAAGTTAGATCTGGAAACACTGATGGAGTGGTTGTTGTGGGTTATACAAAGTACATCCCATGCCTATCCTGTTTTATGGGTTGAATGACTACCCTGTTTAGGTGATGTTAATTAGGTGGCTGTGATGCCTGAAAAGAGATTAGGTAGAATTGGGGCACCTGGACATGAAGGAAAGTGAGTGTAAGACGCTGTTGAAGGACAACACCCATGAATTACAAAAAATTTGATTTAGACAACAGATAGTCTGTGGACACTTCTTTTTCTGTTATGTTTTGTTTTGTTGTTTGTTTGTTTTTTTAATCTGAGAGGTAAACAGACTAGAAAAAAAGCAGCCAGGAAAAATGGATAAAGGAAAGGTACCCCATCCCTGAGGGGACTCTACAGGGAAGAGGGATGTCCTTGGCACTGTGAGACCCACTATGTGTCCCACTCCCCTCCCCTCACCCCAAATGGTCTCTTGGCAACCAGCCTGCAGATTCCCGCTGGCATATTTCAAAGCCTGTGAGAGCGCAGCCATACCTGTCTGGGCTGGAGCTGATCCCTGACCTTCTCTCAGTGCTGCTTGGTTTCCTCTGATAGCTGGGTGAATGATTGCCAGCACCAGTAAATGATTTACTCCATGTAAAGCACCGCCTGCTAGAGAGGCATATCCCTTGTTACACTGCAGAGAAAAAATATTTCTATAGGACAGCAAAGATTACAAAATTAATTTATTATTTGAATAATAAATAAATAAATGTAAGGGTAGTGGTAGTGAAAGAATTTTTTGATTCTTTTTAACATGGGCAAAGATAAAGCTAGGAAAAGTGTTCTTATTTTCATAACTACAGAGCATGTAGCTGTGTTCACAGCTGAAAATAATGTACATTTGGCAGAGCAGCTTGATCCAGAATGCCCAGCTACATACATAAGCAACTTTGGTGTCTAGGAAAGAAAGACTCCTGTTTGTTTTGTTATGTATTAGGGCATCTTTCCCTCATAACCAAAGCACTACTTGTTTGTCATGCGTGTATCATTGCAGCCCCACAGAACTGACTCCTACCATCTGGTCTCTGAAAGATGTGGGCTATACAGCCCAGAGGTGAGAAAAGCTGCATATGTTGCTGGAGCTGCCTGCTTTGCTGCAGGAGGCACTGGTTTTTTAGTTCTCTAGATCTCTTTGCTATTAAATCCCAGTATCATAGGGACTGAAGGCAGACAACTTCACTGACTGTGTTACAGGCTCTCACTCATACAGAATGGAATCTTCGGTGTATTATCTTTTAATTTCAGCTGGATTTCCCAGTTGTTAAAAAGCCAAGTATTTAAAAAGAAAAGATGGCATTTCTTTCTTCATGGTATCACTGGGAGTAGGAGGGTAGGCCATAGGCAACACAAACCACTAATGCTTGGCGGGCCTAGTGGAAGCTGCCCTCAGAGCTTCTCATCACACCACTGCAGCATCTGGGCACTGAGGCACTCCAGGTGTAGGACAACCTTGAGAAACCAAGTAATGCAATCACTAAAAATCAGAGCAAGCTCTATACTCTTGTCAGAACTGGGGGAACTTTCTTACTCTTGACCTTATAACAAAGACAGCACTTTCCTGAATGGTGCATTTCTACCCTTTTTAAAAAAAAAATTGATGAAATTTACTCTCACTTCTCTTCCAATAGATCTCAACTTCTGTGCTGAAGAAAATACTTTCTGCATCTCCTTCTGAGCTGACTTGAGTGCTGATAGTGAGACTGCTGGGAAATCACTGCTCAGCACTGCACAAATGAAGTTCTGCTGTAGTGACAAAAAGAGAGGATCATAGCAGCCAATTCTGCCATTACTTCTCTGCTATGCAAAACCTGTGTGCTGATGACATAGGCTTGCAAGCAGTTCTGGCAAATTTTGTTTACAGCTCTCTTTTATTATGAATTTGGAATGAAATCTCAGCAGCGGGAATGAACATCAAGAGGATGTTAAGAGAGATCGTGAAGCTCCACATGATTTGAGGTACCTTGCCTGAGATTTTTGCAACTTTCCTATAGTCACATTGTCTTATTGTTCTGATCTTAGCATCACAGTCCATTCCCTAATATTTGCCAGCAATCAGATGAGGTTGAGTATCCATCCTCACAGGACACCTCCCATGAATATCTTTAGAGAAATTGGTACTGGTTATAGTTTGATTACACGTGACAGCTGTGACAAAATCCCATTTGATGCAGTCCAATAAGAACTCATATGCTCCCATTCTCCATAAA